TGCCCCCCTACCTTAGCCGCAGGCCGGTGCGGAATACCGACTTCTCTGCGCACATCCCCCCATGCATGGACCCTCCCTTGTCACTGCCAGGCTGGGAGCCCCACAAGCCCCTCAGCCAGAAGCACAGCCGACTCCCAGCACTGCCAGGGCTGGCTGTGGGTGACCCCGGGGCGGGGCTAGGCGAGCTATGCAAATCATTTCCTGCCCTTCTGAAACACAGAGGGAGTTTTCACCTCCAGGCCCAGAGATTCACAATCAGTCAGTCACTAGGAGGGCGCAGCGGAGAGGCAGAGCTGGGGTTGGCCCTGCCCTGGGCCGGAAACTCCAGCAGGCCGCTTGCTTTCCCCACTGCCGACTCTCGCTTCTGCTCTGAGTCGCTATTCCAGCACCAGGCTGGGCCGGAGATTCCACGGTCCAGCCTCTAGCGTCATGGGTTTGCCCCGGCCTCCCTCCTGCTGGCATGCGGCGTTCCAGCGGGTGGGCCTCTGGCTCCACCCCAGAGGTGGCCGCATTTCAGAGGCCAAGTGTTTAGGGATCCTTGGCTATGAAAGGCAACAGGGATTAACCCCTTCTGATGCTCCTCCAAGGACACAGAAACCTTGGCGAGGTAACGCAACACCAGACGGCTAGACCTGCTGTGTGTATATGCAACTGCCTCTGAGCCAGAGCATCCCAGCCCCCTCCTCCACCCCCAAGCCTGCTGCTTCGCATAATACAACATCCTCTGTGCTCAGAGCTAAGGGGCACAGAAAAGCAGCCTTGCTCCATGGCCACCTGCCCACGGCCCCATCCTCTGCCCCCCAAGCACGGAGACCGTCCCTCAGCCCCAGTCCTCTTCCAAGGCAGGTCCTGCTCATCTCTCCCCATTCCCGGGGGGCCGAGCAATCCCCCCCAATGCCAGCCACTCCCTCCCCCGGGGCCAGGCACAGACCCTCCCTGCCCGCCCGGCTGAGAGCAGCACTTTCCACCTCGCCCCAGAGATGGCAGCAGAATGGGGGTTGCCCAGTGAGGCACCCAGCCCCCTGGCCACAGAACAGGGCAGCTGGAGGGGAGAGACTCCGAACAGGTCGCCTCCAGGCCAGCCTTGGCGCACAGGGACTGAGGCCCTGGATCTAAGCCTCGGACTGATGCGGCAGCTGGTGCCAGTGACTCTCCCCTCCCCAGGCTGGCTGCCAGCCACAGGGCTCCAGTCCTGTCCCCGGGCTGCGAATGGCAGGACCTGGGGGGGCAGGACCTCAGCGCAGCCCCCGGTCCCTGTCCAGATTGGCTTCTCCCCCGGCAGGGGCAGGGGCCCGGT